CAGAAGGCGCACTTCGGCCCCCTGCTGTGACCTCTTCCCTGGGGAGCATGGTCCAGTGCCCAGCCACCCTCGGAGGGAAGAACCTTTCCCACATATCCAACCTAAACTCACATGAAAAAAACCTATTCGCAACCAAAATAACAAAAAGTTTCTATTTTCTTCCTTCCCCTTCTCCTTATTTGGTGTTTACACAACAGTACTTCAGTGCCCTACTGGCTCAAAACTGAAATACTTTAAGTCCTTCCCGTATATGCTGGATTTTGTCCCTTAGGTAGTGGCTAATCTGTCTGGAGTCCATCAGGACTCTCAGAGATTCTGGAAGGGATGGAGGCTTGTAAGGGGGATACTTTTGAATTAGATGATTAATGGAGCATAGAGGCATCAGAAAGAAATCATATTACGATGTGAAACCATCTAGAGTATGGTACAATGTAACTTCATGGCACAAGCTAATTGTAAGGTCCATTGTGCTTTTTAGCAAGTCAGCCTGATATCCCCTATTATCAGAGCTGAGTTCTTCCTTGGTTTTGCTACATATTGCAAGATAGATACATCTACCCTTGAAACACAGTGGTAGAGGTCATACATAGGGGTGAGAAAGATGATGGTGAGAGGAAGATTATGTGGGCAGGGGTCGCTCGCCCCTTGCCCCACAAGTAGGGCATGCGCAGACTGTTGCCATTAGGTAATGATTAGGCGGTGTTTGGCTGCCATTCAGGCATCACCTTATACTGTGTACTGGCCCGGCGTAGTATAATGTGGAACTGATAAAAAGGGGGTGTCAGGATTGCTGAGTTGAGCAATACTCATCCTACCACCGAGACTGTGTTGCTCCGCGGGGACGCCCGCCAAGCATGGGTACTGACCAGCTGCTGCAGATCCTGGTAGCCCTGGCCTGTCTGTGTGGGTAAGCACAGTTTATTGATAGGAAGCAACTGAGAGAACTAACTTTTTAATATCCTTTTAGTGTCCCTTAACTTCCCTTTTTCTATTGAATATTTTTAACATAAATAAGTTGTTTATAATATTTTCCCTTTAATTTACCCTTTTACTAACCAGTATCATGTTAATAGTTATCCATAATATTGTGTTAAGATCCCCTTTTTTGGTATCCCTTTTTACCAGTTAAGATTACACTATATTGAATGCTGTTCGTAGTATTTGTTTTAAGAGCACACGATAAGGTAGTTATTTTGTATCTCTTTAGTTTTTGGTTCTTTTCACTAAGTTTATTATTATTATTACTATTGTTACTGTAATAAAGATATTTTGTGTGTTTGAATATCTCTGCACTTGTTTTATTCCGGGCATATATCCTAACGAACTGTTACAGCAGGCCTCCAGGCCTTCTGCCGCAGGCATGGCAGACGCCCCGGGCAAGCGCCACAGCAGCCGGCCAACACACGGGCGGGACACAGATGGCACTTCCTGCCTGCACAAGGGCTTCTGGCCATCCCCAAGGACCTTTGGCTCAGGGATCCCCACGGCTCCAGGCTTTGCCCATCTGCTCTGCTGCAAGCTTGGAGGCTTCAGCAGAGCACCACCAAAGGCCAAGGGAACTTAGGGCTCCTTCTCCTCTCGCTGCACAACTGGGCAAGCGTTGCTAAGCCCAAGGACCCTTTTTCCCCTCTTCCCCAATCCCCCGTGGAAACTGGGCACCAAAAAACACTCCTGAGCCTCTGTGTGTGACCAGAGGAATTTTATATTCCCATGTTGGGGTAGAGGAAAGTGCTTGCAGAGCAGGGGTCTTCCTCGCAGGCTCACGGGGCCCCAGCAGACACAGCTTCCCCCATCAACCCTCCACAGAGCTCTGGCAGCACAGGCAGAAACTGCCCCGCAGAGCAGGCCAGGTCTTGCAGGCCCTGCAGAGCCAGTCTCGCAGCTGCGGCCGTCTGGAGGATGGAGCTCTCTGGGCAGCTTCGATGACACAGCAGCTCTGAAGCGCCAGCCTCGAGACGGTGGGGCTGGTGTCGTTCCTCATCCCCTGAAGGGCTGCAACAGGGAGCAACAGAGCCAAGGTCAGAGCCTGCATTTGTGGCGACCCAAGAAGCCACTCCAGCCGGGGTCATCTCACCCAGTTCTTGCCCTGGCCAAAAGGGAGCAGGGCCCAATGGGATCTGCCGGAAGGCGCTGGCCACCAATCCCCCCCGTGCCCCGGAAATCTCTCCCTGCTCTGCCCAAGCCGTTCCTCATGCATGCAGGGAGCAGAGCCCTCCACAGCTGGGGCAGGATTGCAGCTCCCTGCCCAGGCTCTGTGCTCCTCCACCAGCCCCCGCTGAGACCGCGCTGCCCTCACTCACTGTCCATGATGTCCTGCAGCTCTTCAGGCTGTCCCCGCAGGTACCTCCCGGCCATCCCTGGGAAGACAGATGCTGTCAGGGCCCAGCGGCACAGCTCCCCCCCAGCGGCGCTGCCGGCCCGGCCACACGCCCTCCTGCCCTGGCAGGGCGGAGCCCGGGGCCTTCCCGCCTCGGGACGCCCCAGGGCTGGGCTGGCACAGGGCGGCGGCAGCCGCCGGGGCACTCGGGGCTCCACAGCACATCCCGGGGCCGCATCCTGCTGCCGCTGCGGCAGCCGGGGCTGGGGTCGAGCTGCGGCGGGGCGGGGAGGGACCTTGTGGCTCACCTGCGAACCTGACGGCCGCCTCTCGCAGGGGCTCCTGTGGGCTCTCCAGGTATGGAAGGGCCTGGCGCAGGTACTCGGCCACTCGGCTCCGCTCCTTCTCCAGCTGCAGAGAGCGGCAGGGCACGGAGGGAAGGGTTGGCTGGGGCTCTGCCCCTTGGCCGGGTGCTGCCTGCGCCCAGCACTGGCCTCCCCTGCCCGCGCGCCCCAGGCAAGGCAGCGGCGGCTGGGGCGCAGGCTGCTGTCCCGCAGGCGGCTGCAGCTGTGGGCAGGGGCACAGTGCCAGCCCCACACTCCGGGGGCATCGGGGGCTGGGGGCTGCTCCAGCCTGGGGCTGGGGCTTCATGGCCGTCCTTACCAGGCACTCGCTGAACCTCCACAGCTCCTTCTGCTTCAGGATCTTCTTGAGATCCCTCCTCTTCAGGAAGCCGGCCACGCAAAGCAGCGCTTCCCCAGAGGCCTGCAGAGCAACAAGCAGCAGGAGATGGCACCGCGGCCCAGGGCAAAGGACCCGTGTCCCTGGAGCAAGGCCAGCAGGAGGCTGCAGCCCGTGAGGTGCCAGGGCAGGAGGCAGCCCAGCCCCCTCCCGCGGGGACACCAGAGCCCACAAGTGCTCACCTCTGCCACTCTCTGGTTCTCATCATGGCAGTGGAAGAAGAGTGGAAGCAGGCTCTGGCGGACATGTGGCTTCAGGGGCTTTTTTCCCTCTTTCTCTATCATCATCATCAGCCCCCGGAAGAGGAGGACGGAGGACAGCTGCACACTGCTGTCAGCCTGGGGGAAATGGAAAGACCTCAGCACTAGCTTCTCCAGGCCCACCTGGGCACAGGCCTGAAAATCCACCAGGCACAAGGTTTCCTGCCAGCACCCATTGCCTGTGGCTGCGGGGCACAGAGCCTTACGTCGTCGAAGAGCGGCTGCAGCGCCTCAGCCAACTGCAGGGCGGTGGGGCTGGAGAGTCGGATGTCTTTGTCCGAGAGCAGAAAGCCGAGTACAGTGACGCTCATCCTGACCAGCTCTCCATCTGCATCCCACAGGAGCTGCACGAGGCTTTGGGTCAGGCTGCGCATTCTTTTGGCCTGTGAGGAACACAAGGCTGTGCTGTGAAGCCGCCAACGGCTGTGACGCCAACCCCGCTCCGGCGGGGCAGCCCCACCTGCTGCCGCGGGGCCCAGAGGCCAAAGGCCTGTCCCGAGGGACTCGGGCAGCTGAGCGGGGAGGCAGCAGAGCTGGCAGCAGCTGTGCTCCCCAGCCCCAGCATTGCAGCACGGGCTTCAGCCAACTGCCCCTTCCTCACCGTCACGGCATCCTGGCTGAGCACCACCAGGCCTCTCAGCACTTGGCGACGCATCTCTGGGCACTCGCTCCACAGGTGCCTTGAAAGGATGGGCAGGATGCTTTCGCCGCAGTCGGTCACCTCCAGGTAGGCCAGGGCCTGAAAGGCAGGGAGCGGTGACGGGCTGCCCGGCCGGCAGCAGCCCGCACCCGCACAGGGCTGGGCCCAGGCAGCAGCACAGGGTGCGGCACCGTCCCGGGCAGCCCTGCCCAAAAGCAGCAGTGGCTCTGCAGAGCCCCTGGGCTCCCTGCCCTGCGCAGGCCACTCGCCCACTCCTCTGTGCCACCCAACCCTGGGACTCCTTGGCCTTGAGGAGCCATGAGGGAAGTGCGAGTGCTGGCAGCAGAGGGACCCAAAACACAGCTGGGGACAAGTGGCACCCCAGCAGCAAGGGGCCAAGGGCGCACAGTGGAGCCCTCCCTCTGCCCCAGCTCCCTTCACTGGGCTTCCCCCGCACGTGCGGCTGCACAAGGCCAGAGAGGTGCAGGCGGCTCAGCCAGGCAGCGCTCGCCATCAGGCTCACCTCCACAAGGAACGCCATGGCAGGGAGCTCCCAGGGACACATCTCTTCGCTGAGCAGCTCCAGGAGGCAGCATACGATGCTGCAACACCAGGGTGTGCAGGCAGAACCCATCTCCCTGGCAGGGGGAAAAAGGCACTGTCATGCCCGAGCTGGCTGGGCAAACCTCTCCCGCCACTCCCTCCCAGAGGCCTGGTCGTTCCCCAGCACCCCGGCAGGGGACGAGGGCACTCTGGCAGGCGGCTCCTCCTGTGCACCCGCCTCTCCCAGCCTTTGCCGCTCCGCTCGGCCATCCCTGGGTGACAAGGCCCTCTGGCCCACCACCACGGGCACTGCGTGGGGTGCCCCGTGCAGAGGGCAGAAATGACAGGGGCAGCGGGGACAAGGGGCTCTCACCTGGCCAGCAGACCCACCGCGTAGTGGTGGGTGTCAGCGTTGAGCAGCGTGTCCCAGCCACACTTGCGTTCCATGGCCACCAACACGCTCTCGCAGCGCAGACGGCGCAGCAGGGCTTTGAGGGTCAGCGCTGCAAACCTGCGTGCAGAGCAAAGGCCAGGTCATGCTGGGAGCCCTGGCCAGCCCCAAAGGCGTGGGAGGGACAGGAGGACTGGGACGGAGCACCTGTTGGGCTGGGTGGGAAGGCTGCGTTGCTTCCGGCACTCCCTCCAGAAGGTGTCAACCTCCTCCGGCATCTGCACTGTGCTGAGGAACACTTGGAAGAGCAGATGCACAAAGAGGTTGGGGAAACACCCCCTCACTGCACGCGTGCAGCAGAGCAGATGGAGGATCTTCCAGAGTGCCAAGGTTGCCTGCGAAAAGGAAACCAGCGGAGACAGGGCTCAGTGCCCAGACATCCATGTGGCAGGGCCTGAGCGCGGCAGGGAGAGGCCAGGGGAGACACAGGAGGAGCACCCGGCCTGGTGCCCCTGAACCTGCCCCTGAGCCAGCTTTCCAGCCCAGTGCCTAAGGCAGGGAGATGCAGCGCTGGAGGAGGAGGAAGAGCTGCCGGGGAGGAGCCGTGAGGGGGAGCAAAGGCCGGTTCCAGAAACTCACAGCCAGGGCAAAGACTTCCGTTTCATCCCCATCCGAGGTGCACATGCTGCAGGCTGGCCAGCTTCCCAGGACAAGGGCAAGGATCTGCAGCACCGACTCTGCAGTACTTCTTGAGGAGATGATTGTCCTCCACATGGTCACAGCAGCTCTGCGGGGTCAAAGCTCTGTGTCAGTGGGCTCTCAGCCACAGTGCCACGGCCTGGGCACTTCCCGCTCCCAGGTGACAGAGCCACAGCACCGCGAGGAGCAAGGAGGGCACGTGGGAGCGGGATGCGCGGCTGGCATGCCAGGGCTGGGAACCAGAAGAGCCAGAGGCTCCGAGAACTCTGGGCCTGACAGACACCTGGGACGGGCTCTACAGGGTGATGGGCTGGTGAGCCCTGGAGGCAGGGAGGCCCCGTACCTGTCACAGGATGGGGCAGAGCGCAGCAGAGTCACCACCACATCCACGGGGTGTGCCTCGACCAGAGCCAGCACAGTCTTGTCTAGTCTGCGCTCCGCAGACGCATTGGCCGTCAGCCACCCGTGGATGTACCTGACCAAGGCCGGCACCTGCAGGGGGCACGGGGGAGAGTTGGAGAGCTGCCAGAGCCAGCAACTTGCCCGGCTTCCCCCGACAAGCGCTTCCCTTCCCAGCACTCTCCGCCGGCCTCAAAGGGGCCCAGCGGAGCCGGCGGGAGGGGCCACCCAATCCCTACAGGGCTGGAGCCCTGGCCACAGGCTGCTTACTTTCTTGGCATTGGAGACACCGTTCTCCACAAGCAAATCCAGCAGGGCAGCACTGGTGTGGGCATTGCAGAGGTCAGAGTTTGCCATGCCCCCAGCGCCCATGGCAATGGTCTCTTCCCTCCAAATGCAGCGGGTGAATTGGCAAACCATCTGCAGGAGAAAGGCAGGAAGAGAGGGATGTGCCCTGGAGAGCTCGCACAGCGGTGCCGGGCTGAGCAGGCCCGACAGCAGGCCCAGCCCAGGAGGCGACGGCTGCAGGTACCTCTGCTGTCCTGCGGAAGCGGCCACGGGCGCGGTCCTGCTCTTGTGTCCGGGCCCGACCTGGATCTGGCAAAGAGCGAGCGCGGTCAGAGCTGAGGGGCTGCGGGACAGGCCGGAGAACACGGCCCAGCCCCGCGCTCCACAGGCGGGCCCAGCCCCGGGATGCCCAGTGCGTGGAGCTGCCGGGGGATCAGTCCCGGACCCTCCTTCCCCCTCCCTTTTCCTTGGCCATGTCCACAGGGGACGGGATGGCAAGAGGCCCATCTGGCTGCGGCCAGCAGCCCTGGGGCCCAGCTCTGCCACTCACCCTCCTGCAGGGGCTGGCACTGCTCTGCCTCCTCAGGCTGCTGGGATGGGGCAGCTCCAGGGCCTTCCTCCTCCCCCTCCTTCAGCCAGGCCAGCTTGGGCACCCTGGGGGGGCTCTGCTCCATGTCTCTGTCTGGCTTCACGGCTTCCTGCAGGAGAGATGGCACGCAAAAGCTCTGGCTCACCAGGTCCTGCACAAGTGCCTTGAAGGCACCTGCAACACAGCGGGTTTGGGAACGCTCCGGCTCATCAAGTCCCACAGGTCGGCCTGGAGGGGCCATGGGGGAGTTGGAGAGCTGCCAGAGGGAGCAATTTTCCCACTCTCCCCCGAGAAGGGCTTCCCTTCCCACCCTACTGTGCTGGCCTCAAAGGCTGAGGGGGCCCAGCAGACCTGGCTTGAGGGGCCCACACAATCCCTCCCTACCCACAGGCTGCTTACTTCCACAGAGACAACTCTCTCCCCGGGAATGTCCAGACTAGGAGCAGTGGGCAGGCGCTGAGCGGCTGGGATGTCAGTGCCTGCCATGCCCTGGGTCGCTGCGCCATCAGCCTCGGCCGTGAGCTCAGTCGGCGTGGGGTCAGGCTGCGCCATGACCTCGGTTGGTGTGATCCTGGTCTTTCGACGCCGAATGCCCACAAATTTCAGAAAGGCCTACAGGAAAACCAAGGGCAGGGAAGAGAGGGATGTGCCCTGGAGAGCTCGCACAGCGGTGCCGGGCTGAGCAGGCCCGACAGCAGGCCCAACCCAGGAGGCGACGGCTGCAGGTACCTGTGCTGCCCGGCGGAAGCGGCCACGGGCGCGGTCCTGCTCTTGTGTCTGGTCCTGGCCCGGATCTGGCAAAGAGCGAGCGCGGTCAGAGCTGAGGGGCTGCGGGACAGGCCGGAGAACACGG